GAAACTGATCTGACACCCACAATGATATAAATGTTAGCTATGGTTTTAGAATATATAATAAAAATAAAAATGAAACCATGTGATCTTTACTTGAAATACACAGAAGTTAATGATTATTCCCGAAAACAATCTGTTCTCTGTTAATTTCATAATAATTTGAATAATACGTCTCAATGTCGAAATGTTGATAACTGTAAAAGTTCAAAATTATGTAATGAGTAAATCTGAAATGTAAATGTTATTGTAAGGCAATATTTTTAATTCTCTGAATATTAGAGTTTTACAATGTTATTCTCTATGGGATGACAATATTTGATGTGTATTTTATCAAGTGATACTGTCTTTGAAATTTGTATGAGGTTCTTGAAATACATTCGATTTCATACATTGTGATAACCTTGCAACAAAACATGTCAATATCAGTTCATTATAACGTTATCAAAGCACAAATTATAAATTTGAGTATCCATTTTATTTAATAGATTATTTTCATCTACTGACATCAGACATGAGTAGTAGTAGATACTAAAACAAATCAGTTTATATTCTTCATTTATTAATGATGGAAATTTCATCCATGTTGAGTAATCAGTGTGGATGTTCATATGTCGAATAATATGAATAATTATCGATCGAAAGCTTATAAATATTCTAGAGTGGGCACACATTCAATAGTATTGCAAAAGTAAATTTTTAGTTATCTTTTCTCACAAATGAAATAAAACACAATCGAAAGAGATGAAATAATTAGGTAGGATTATATGTAATAATTCGATTTTGTTGCGTTCTCGCTACTCAGTCACAACACATGATACTTGAGAATGAAAATGATCATGAAGTTCACAGAACTGTTACAGGAAATTCATCATCATAGTAGAGCGCCGAGATTATGGTAATACAAAGATTGAAGCAAAAACATATAATACCTGGAAGAAGAACACGGATCATCGTATATTACATAATGATTCCTGTCATCAAAAGCAGAACAGTATTGTTCAACCTACTATATATTTTGGTTTTCCCCTCTCATTTCCAAAAAACGTTTATTGATTCTGTAGTGTGCCTATTTACTGCGTGTTCTTACGTTTCGTAATAGGCTCGTTCAGATTGTCTTATCCGAATGACGTCTGACGGTTAATGAATCAGAAGTTGAATTCCAAGTATCGTATACGTTTATTGTAGCACACCACAATAAAGATAGCAGAGAAGCGAATTGGAGAAGGCTAAGGGCCAACTCTTTGAGTTACAATGCAAGCGAATGAATGAAGCGAATAGAAGAAGGCTAGTGAGCCAACTCGAAGAGATAGAGTATGACTAAGAATATATAGTCAGACAATAATAAGACAGACATATGACAAGCGAAATAGGTATGCACACACATGAATAAAAGCGACGAATGATTGACAATGTCAAATGACAAGCGATACAAATCATGTGAGTTCATGGGAAAATTACGAGATTAACATTAAAGCGAAAAGGATGAGTAAGTGCGTAAGCGTAATCAATGCTCAGTCGTATAAGCTCATACAAAGCAGATAATAAAATATACCAATGGTACATATGAGTTGTTGCTTAGCGAATGGCTTGGTTAAATAAATTAATCGAAAAGGCTTAAGCAAATTAAATGTAAGCAGATGCAAATAAATGTGGATGCACTACAATTCTACTCATATCAAGTAACAGTTCTCAGCATTATGTGTTTATTAGTCTTCCTCTTTCCCTTTAATCGAATTGTACTAGTGGAGGCATATGCTGTGACATAGTTTGATGTTTTTTAAATTTTTTCACAATCAGATTCAAAAGCTTCTTCCTAAATATTCTTCGACTGATTCTGGTTTATTCTCCTTCACTGTAGGTTGTTGCTGTTAGTTTCTGGCCGACGTATTTTGCACAGGAAACTGATAAAAAATACTCGTATATTCTGTTTGGTGACTTTGTGAGATCCTTGATTTTTCCCTTCACAAAGGACAACTATTTTGACATTTTTAATAAAATGTGTGCCCTGATGTTGTTGCCGGCCGAAATAATTTGCGAAGTCAACTGGTAAAAATACTCGTAATTTCTGTTTGTTGACTACAAAATGTAAAACTATGTTGACGTATGTAATAATATAATTAAGCTGATGTTCGCGAACAGTTGCTTTTCTAATTATGTATCCGGAGAGCTACTGCCACTAAATCTGCTGCTGAACTCTTTGTCTCCTCTTACGTTTGCTGTTGCGTTCGCTAGAGAATAATCAGCTCATTTGCAATGTCCGGATTATCCGAACGGATATAAACTCCGAAAAATTTCATCAAACGTAGTGAAAAATCAAATAACTGATCGTCAATTGCACTATCTGAATTAAACCTTAGTTGAATTCAATGAGGTAAAGAATACAATAAATAAATTTGAAAAATATGATGTGATCGAAATCTTAGAGAAAGAAATAAAGAATAATATAATGAGTTGATGACAAAGTTACTTTGATAAGAAGAGATTTGAAACCTTTTATTATTTGGTACGAATTTCAAGTCGTCATTTGATTGCCTTACGTTAGCAGTCAGCTTAAATGAAGAACTTCGCATGTACGACAATCATTTCCACTTGACATACTACATTATTATTTACGGATAGTAGTGTCAATTAAAATCCATAGTAGTAGTAGTAGTAGTAGTAGCGATAACGGATATAATACGGTTCGAAGAAATTATTCAAAAAATATAATTCAATGAAAGAAATCTAAGAAGAGATAACAAAAAATAGAACTTTGGAGATCATGAGAGAACACAAAGGATGGATGTATTTGCGCTAATACAAATTATTTTAGGCTGTGTCATTTAAAGACTCTAATCATCGGTTATTATTGTCTTGCAAACCACAGCCATGCATTCCACATCTACTATCATGAATGACTAATTCTGCTAATGTCTTAATGTATGCTTGCCAGTCTTTGATTTGGCAGTCCATAAGTTTTTTTCAAATTACTTGAAGACCACAATGCAGTTGGTGAAGTTAAATATAACGCTTGTCCTAATCACCTCTGTAGATTATCACTTGATCATTAACCTTTGCAAGTAAAAGTTTCTGATTATTCTCCATTATTCCAAGGCGTTCGAATAATGTTTCTCATGCACCTATTATAGAATACTACAAGCCAATTACGTTCTTTGCAGTATGCGATATACTGCGTTATTCATGCATAGAGAATATCGAAATCATACAAGGAAAAAAGGTAGAAAATACAACGAGCAATAAAACTGAAATGACCGCAACATGAAGAAAAAATTCGAACTACAAGATGAGGAATCTTCAAAGATTACAGTAAGACAATCACTGGTGTTGTAGTGAACGAGAACAGAGGTGGGGCGAAAGAATTGTATTTAGCGAAAATTACAGAGTTACTCAGTAAAATTGGAAAACGTTATCGTAAATCTTTTATTTGCGAATTATCAGTCCATCCAATAGAACTGGACTGTTCCCGTTGCAAAACATCAATCCATTGTCACTATTCATGCGTTTCATACAAATTTCATTGTGCTCCAACTCTTCCTTTCTTGATCTTCTCCTATGTTCTGCTGCCAGACATTACGTTGGCACTCACGCCATATACTACTTATAAGTAGCTCACACCACAGTGTGATTGATTATGAGGCCCAATGTCCCCAATAAACATATATCAAATTAAGAAAGTATAAATACTTCAACAAACGTAATTTTAACGTAAGGCAAATTAATAATTTTCCTCAAGTTTGATATATATGATCGTAAACGTCATCTCGCTAAATGTTCTCTGATAACGACTTCATAAACTGAACCTCAATGTGTGTTTGTATGCGTGCTTACTGCCTTATAGCAAGGTAATCCTATTATATCTAGACAAAACGAAGTAAGTCATACTTAAGGGCGGGACAGTTAGCACATTCGCCTCATACAAATCACTTTACTTTGCTTGAAAGCTTTTCGATCTGAAATATGTCTGCGTGCGTGAACGATAATCTATACCGAAAATCCTTTATATTTCAACAGTCACTTAACCAAGTCTCCATCAACTTTAAATGTTGCATAAATATTTATCAATTAGCAGCTTCAATATTTCAACGATGAAGTTCTTTCCATTGAGATTCAGTGACACGACAACCAATCCAACATACAGCAGTATGTAGTGACGCATCACTTGCCAAAACATTATAACTAAATTATACAGATTACTGTCGATCGATCAAAATCAAAGCATCAGAATTCATTGGTAACTGCCTCTCATAACACACAAATATGCGGACGTTTATATTTAGGGTAACTGAATGGTAACTGACGAAAAGTACCGTTTGAATAACTAGAAAACCAAAGTTATGATGGAATTAGGTTTTTATTTGAGGCAATATTCTTAAATTCATTATATGACTTTCACATAATCAGAAGTTAATTCATCCTTCGCATTTTTCGGTATTGTCATGTTTTTATTGATTATGCTTAGCGTATTTTCAACTAATGTACAGTATCTGTTTTTTTTAACTCAAAGGTTTTCGTTCATTATTTGGTCCAAAGTTTAGTAATAACCTAATACATAGACAATCAATATATGTTGCTAAATAATTGGTGTATGCGGTTATTTCGTATATATTGAATTCTGCATCCATTTGTGTTAACTAAGCGCTGGAGAATTGTGATGTGAGTTTGTTACTTTTCACAGCATTATATCACTAGGTCTTTAATGATCTAAATCGATAAGCAGATAAGCAGACATATTTTTGAAGAAAAAGATTTTTCAGTAGATAAATAGACAGTGAATCATAATTGTGATCCATCGCTGATTGCTACCTGCTTACAGCAGTAAAAGCAAATATCAATATCAAACTACTTTTCCTGAAGTCTAAGGCATTTTCGTGAATGCGTAACAGTTATTATTTCCACTAAAAGTGTAGAAAATAAAAAAAGAAATTCGCATTTTTATTTTCAAGTAATTCATGTATTTACTTATTATTTTTCTTGATATCTAACATTTCACTTGATTCACTTGAAGATGGAGTTGTTGATTTTATACAAACTTAATATTCTAACTATGTTAACATGGGGTTTCGGCGAAATGTCAAAATCAAAAAACAATACAATCTTTAACTGTACAAATTCGTGCATGTAAGTAATTGACGTTCATTGAAAATTCATTATTACGCTCGACAGATTCAACAACATTTCATGGAAACAACCAATTGACAAATCTGGTTTCCTTTTACTGTAAGTCATAAAACCTGGAAAGCTTCAAATAAATTATTTCATACATTTTTATCCATCATCCCTTAAACAAAACAATCACCTGTGATTATCAGTTCAATCACAATGTTACAAAAAAAATTCAGAGTGAAGGCATCTCATCAGTAAATGTTTCATTTTATAAGTTACTAATATACAATCATCAAGATAATTGTTTACCGAGTCGATTATATTTCAAAAACATGCACTCGAATATATTGCTCATCTAAATTGCTGCCGTTTCAGGGAAACAGCTATTACCTCGTGCTGTACTTGGTGTTTGCTGCACTTCATTTTGTTGTTCAATTTAATTCCATGTTTCAGAGGTATCGCTTTAGTATTGGCACTCATTATAATACTCATCAAAGCCTTGCATACCGCATCTACAAGAAATACCATCATCATGTTTATGACGGTTAGTTAAACATAAATTTAACTGTTGTTTGTGATGTTGTTTGTATTCCCAGTGAGTTTTCCAAAATTCCATTGAGACTGTTTGTTGGTCAGGACTTACTATGACACGAAGTAATATACACATCCGTATCTAAAAATAGGGTAGAGATTAGGCACACATCATGGGAACCTGCATAAACAGATGAAATAAAGCTATTTAGAATTACTGTTTTCATTTCAGTTGCGATAAAGTAACCGCAAAGAAGCACTTAACTAGATGAAAATGAAGAAGAAGATTAAGAACGCCTAAAGTACTTTTCGATACACAAACAGTGAATGTGAGAACAAGGCTTGACTATTTATTTATCAGTAATTTTTATCATGGCTCTGTTCAATATTGCGCTTATCATAATGTGACATGCTTTTTTCTAACTTTTCAGTTGATTATGATGGTCATCGGTGTCGGATTATTGACTGCCTTTGAGATTTGGTATGAGCAGATCGTCGCTTCAATTGTGCCAGTCTTGACCCTAATAAGTGCCATTCTTTTGGGTTTAGTAAAGAAAGGTTTTCCCATCAAATGGAGGATAATTTTATTTACAATTTGCTTCGTACTGATAATAGCTGGAATCGTCTTCATCATTTTGGGCATAATTTGCAAGATTGGGGAAACCTATAAGGTAAGTTGACCTTGAACTATCAACGTCAACGTATTAAAAGTGATACCTGATTTTATTTCTTGCTTTATTAATTATTGTCACTTAATAACTAACCATTTAGGTAATGTACAGCAGGATGACTATTTTGGAAACATTGTTTTCAGTTTATTGTGAATATAACCTTATTTTAAGAAATGCTAGATACAAACTTTGAGACAGCAGTCTCTGATTTATTTATTGAAGATCTAGCATTTATAATAAATCTGCACTGGCGCTGCTATCATTTTAACAGTTTATTCGAATGTACACATCTCGTCCACAGGAAACAGACGGAAATGTACTGTTTAATCGGTAATAAACTAATTGTCACCAACAACATGTACAGTTGCATTTCAACCATATTCTAAACACCAAAAACCTACTGTGATAAAACACAAAGCATATATAACATGCTCATATCAGTTGTTATATGTACTATTGAATAAAATTTTAGTAATAAAATTTTAATATTCACAAATTCATTTCATGTTAAATTTTTTCTAGATTGTGCTTCCAATTCTGTCAGCGATCTGTTGGTGCGGTGCAATGTTTATTGTGAGTTTGTGATAAAAGATTGAATTTCAATTTCGACATAAATAAATATACATTATTCTCCCCGAACATTTTGCATTGTTGAATATCGTACTTCATACTGAAACATTAACTTTGAATTACTTGAAATAGTCTTTCATAATAGATTTTTCAGTGAAATGCCGGTTGTTGCAACACCATAGCTATTCTGCGTGAATGTGTGATATTGATTTGCGAAAGGTTAGAGAACCATATTTTGTTTTTTTGTCAATAAGTTGAACGTTTTCTCAGTTTGTCTGATTGATTATATAATCAAATAAATCACTGACTGGACATCTGCCTGTAACG